TTTGGTCTGCTTCAACTGAATGTACCAGGCTTTGCTAACTCCCCCTGGGAGCTCTTACCCTTTTGGAGGAGGGGATGAAGGGTGGGTCAGGAGCTGGGAGAAGGCTGGGGTTGGGGAGCGGGCGGAGGGATAAGAAAGGCGATCTGTGGTTGGTATGTAAAATAAATAAAAAAAAAATTCTCGAAAGAAAAAAAAAAAAAAAAAGCCCAGGACAGGATGTGGTGCCTGGGGATGGGGGTTTGCTAAACCAGTGGAAAAATTTTCCATAGGTCCAAAAAGGTCTTTTTGTTTGTTTTTTATTTTTGATATCACTATGTAGCTTTGGCTGTCCTGGAACTCAATATGTAGATCAGGCTAGCCTGGAACTCCCAGAGATCTGCCTGCCTCTGCATTTTGAGTGTTGGAATTAAAGGCGTGTGCCCCTATGCCCAGCTAGGGTCCAAGGTTCTTAATCATTGTTACCAGTGTCTGGCTTTCCTGAGTGGCTTCAGAGCCAGAGACCCGGAACTCCTGACTAGACTGTGGGCTGCTTCTGAGGGCGAGGTATGCCAAGGAAAAGTGACTTTTCACAGTTTAAACTTCTGCGTCCATGAAGAGACAACCCAGACTCAAATTTTAACTTCAGGGTCCACACAAAGGAAATTCCTGGAAGAGAAACTAACCAAACTGGAAGGCAGAAGGCTGGATTCTAGGCCCCTGATGTGGCTGTGTGGTTTTGGGAAAGTTACTTTTCTTTTTGAAATGATTGGCAGTGTAATGTGATCAGCTATGACATCACATAGCTTAATTTAAAATTCAAACTATTTGTGTGTATGTGTGTGCATCCCATGTGTAGGAGCCCAAGGATGTCAGAAAAAAACATCAGATCCCCTGGAACTGGAGTTTCAGCTGTGAGTAGAGTAGGTGTTGAGAACCCAACCTGGTTCTAAGAACAATATATATACTTTTTTTTTTAATGGGGGGCATGTTTTGCTTTGTGTTTCAAGACAGGGTTTCTCTGTGCAGCCCTGACTGTCCTAGAACTCACTCTGTAGACCACCAGGCTGCCTCAAACTCAGAAATCCACCTGTCTCTCTGCTTCCCAAGTGCTGGGATTGAAGGCGTGAGCTATCTCTCCAACCCCAATGGCCTCATTTTGAATCCTGGTTTGAGCACTTGCTGAAGCAGTCAGTTAGATCAACCATCAGGCCCGGTTATAGAAACTCCCAGGCCAGGTAATAACTCTAATTCATTGTTGTTAGGGCTGATAGGGTGAGAAGTTAGTCATATAGGTGTTTGAACAATGCCACCTTACAGATGGGTCAATGGTGACACTTGCCTTCTTTAACATGATAAAAGGCCGTTCTTTAGGCCTCCTGGAGAGGAATTCAGGAAGGCATCAGTCTGTTCGGCCTCTTTGTGTTTTGTTCCCAAATCTGGCAGGAAATTCCTTTTCTCATCGGTGCCAGCCTAACCCCACCTAACCGCATGCCCCAGTTGACAGCTTTCCATGACAAAGGCAAAGCCAAAGCCAGGGCTCCAGCCTAGCAGCCAGCCGACCTCCTGCCCTGTGAGAGCACCAGGGGTTTCTTTCTCATTAATGACCTCAAAGTTTTAGCCCCAGAAACAGTAGGAAAAAAAGACAAAAGCCAACCAGGCTAAAGATAGGTGCTTTCAAGCCTCAGAAGGCAGGGAAGGCCCTGGGAATCCCCTCTGAAGTTTGGGAAGTCTTTTGTGTTCTCAGCCTGCCTTGGTTTGCCTTGGGAGCACAGTTGGCCTCCAAGAGGGGGAGGCTGCAAAGCTGTTTTCAAAGCGTCCTCAGCTGCCTTTTTTCAGGTAGTTCAAGAGTGATGGAGGATTTTAAAATGTCAAGATGAACCGAGCATGGTGGCGCAGCACTCAGGGAATGGATGAGCAAAATTGAATGCCAGCCTCTGCTACACAGTGAGTCAGTTTGAAGGCCAGTCTAGGCTTCAAAAGACTATTTCCAAAACCCAAAATATATGTACAAAGACAGAAGTGTAAAACTTACTTAATAGGTCCTCAAATTCTCCTGCCCTACCGTATTTCAAAGGGCACAGCAGGCCACAGAAAGCTGAGACACATTAGCCTCAGCCCGGGCTCACTCCCCAGGGACCCTAGCTACATATTATAGGGCATTCTGTTCTCCAGATTGTTGCAAGCCACCCAAAGTGTGGTCTAGTCCACTTTTAAATTTTCTGCTATGGTTCCAAGGCAGAAAACATCATAGATGCACGGGTCTGCAGCAACTGGGTGCTGGTGCACTTTGACCCGGAACCATCCAGGCCCCAGCAACTTCCTTGCTCCTTAAGCAGATGGCTGGCAAGAGCCACACCCTGGTATATTTCATGCTGGGTCTGTCACCTTGCTGACCCCTCAAAGGCAGGCAATAGGTCCTCACAATGCTATCATTCCAGTGTTCAATGTCAATCAACTATCCAGATCTAGTTCCTTCTAGTACACATTTTGATCTGGTTTTCCTTTCTTCCCAACTAAACCCCACACTTGATCTCCTTAAAGAAGTTTAGGTAAAAGGTTCTCACCTGAGTTAATATGACCCTATGTGGAGGGTGGGTTTGGGGGTGGGAAGAGGGAGGATCTGTGGTTGGTATGTAAAGTGAATAGAAAATTTCTTAATAAAAAAATGACTATGTGACCTAGGGTAGATATTTCAACTGTGTGGGTATGCTTTTGGGACCTAATAGGCATGCCATGATACACGGGGCAGCCTAAACAAAGAACTTCTGGGTGGGGCCAAGTTCAAACTTCCTGCTCCAGCCTTGGAAATGGGCTGCCTGTGGCTCCTTCTTCCCAAGAGCACATTCACCCTGGAAAGCTCCACGGAGAAAGGGCAGCCTCAGAACACTTTCTTTGGGCTATTGTGCACCAAAACTCAGCTTAATCTGTCCTCCACCTCTAATTACATACAGCCTTACCCTAGGAAGGCTAGACAAGCATTCTACTATGGAGGCCCATCCATCCCAGCTCAAATTTAGCTTCTAACAGAACTGCTTCTGTAGTATAAATAAACCCAACACTCATGCCCCAAGCCCTTCGTGAATAGTAACTTTTCCTCTAGCCCTTTCCACCTGGGATTAGGTGGAGCAAAGGCAACGTGCAAAGTCAAGTACTCAACAGAGTCCCTCTAATGGCTTGAGTGACAGCTCATCCATTTTTGTTCCTTCAAGAAAGACACTGAGGTCAGAAAGGCAGGAACACAAAAGCCAGGAGTCATCCCATCGAAGAGTTTATTCTTAGCATGCAGAGTACTTTCTTGGGAAAAAAAAAATCTTTGCAGCTCCAGCAGATATTATAAATTAATTTACAGATATAGAGTTGTGTTAGAAATATTCATAAAAAGTCCTTATGATTCTTCACATACAAAAATATTAAGAAAAATTTTTTATGCACCAAGTTTGAGGCCGAGTAGTTTCTTTGGTTATATTTTTGCATAACAATAAGCAATGGTGACAGAATTTGTACATCAAGAGGCCATTAAAAATTTCCATACATTTCTAGAAAATTTATATAAAGCTGTGAGTTCTAATACACAGGGGGCATAAAGCCTATCTTAAAAACAAAACAAACAAAAAAACAGAAAACAAAAAAAACCCCAAAAAACAAAAAAACACCACCACAGGGATTCCCCACGGCCCCCCCACACACACACACTACAATTTCATGAGGTTCCTGTCTCATGTCAATATTAAGAACATAGTATCATGGGAGCTTGTAGAATATTACCTTCAGTTTAGTGGTGGGCTGTTCCTGTAAATCCAACAACCATTCCAGCCTGTCAGCAGCACTCTTTGAATGATGACCAAGCATTTCCTGTATGGTGCAGTGCTAGAGTCTCCCCACTACAAAATGATCCAAATGAAGTCACCTCAGAAGTGAGGCGGTGGCGAAACAGATTTATATACATACAACTTTTAAAAGAATGATTAGAATCGTTTCTCATTCAGATCTGTTAAGTTTGGTCTCAGAGGTAGATCTCTGTGAGTTTAAGGCCAGCATGGTCTACGTAGGGCTATGCAGGATCTTGTCTCAAAAACCCAAACAAAAAGAACCTGTAAGATTTCACTGTCGATGAAATAAACACCTAGGACACAAGCTAAAAGGGGCAGGATGCCAGGTTAACCAGGAGGAACTAAAACAATGGTCTCCAGACCTTATCCCATGGATACTTTGTCGTCTATCATGAGGCTGGCATGTTTAAGAACCAATGATTTCCCATGTGTGACCTTGGTATGTTACCCATCATCTCAGAAAGATAGTCATACCTATTTCCCACACAGAATTGGTACTTTCGATGGCTTCAGAGACCAGTATCTTGGAACACAAGGAGACTTACTGTGCAGAGAAGTAACTGAGTTGATATTCCAGATCTATAGAACATTTGGCACAAAGAATCTCTGCAATAAGCATTTACCATTTCCAGACAGAGGTAACTTGTGAGCTGGATTCAGAAAGGGTTTGTGGCATTCCCTAGATACAAGAGGAGGCAAAGGATACAAAATTGGAGTTTTCTTATTTAAAAAAAAAAAATCCAGATGATCTGGTTTTCCTTGAAAAATCAGAATGCTGTCATGAAGGAAATGGCCAGCTGGTCAATCCCCTGTGCCTCCAGCTGCCAACAGCTTTAATTTTTCCCACCCATAACTTCAATGGCCGTTTCCCCACCCAGCTGCCTGTATACATTTGAGCGTGCTGTTCTGATAAACAACTGAATAACAAAATAGATGCAGTTCTCACGGAGTTCTACCTACTGAGTAAGGTGCCTTTTATCTCCAGAGAGGCACACAGCCAGAGAAACCTAGAAAAGCTTGCTGGAGTCTAAGAACTACTCTGGTTACTGTGAGCATAGTCATTGGAGCGAAGGATCATTCAGGAGCTCACAGAAATCAATGAAGCTCACTCAGTCCTACCCCAGACTTCCTGAACTGAGCCTACATTCAAAACGGATCTCAAGTGTACATCTGAAGTCTGAGGAGCTCTGTTTACATATCAGAGCCATCCCGGGGGTAGATGAGGCTGTTGACCATGCTGAAGTTGTAGAAAGGGCTGCTGAAGGGGCTACTCTGGTCCCCACTGCTGCCGCCAGGGAATGGGCTGTAGTAGGAAGAAGACAGCTGGTTGCTTCCGCCCACCGTGCTCAGCTGCACGGAGTCTGGAGAGCTGTTTGGGGTGGAGGTGTTGGAGAACGTGCTGGAGGGCAGCTGGGTGCCCCCTAGGTGGCGGTGATTGCCTGGGATGGCTCGCTGGGTGCTCATGCTGCTGGGGTTCACACTTAGCGTGCTAAGGCTGCTGAAGAAAGTGTTGAGGCACGGGATGGATGCTCCAGGAGAGGAGGAGGTACTCTTGGTGTCATCTGGAGACTCTGGTGACTGAGATGGCCTCATCGCAGAGGAGGGGCTGTCTCCTTCTAGCTTCCCACTCGCTCTTAGTCTTGAGGATAGCCCTTCCGATTTTGATGTTCCTGAAGCTGCAGTGAGGTTGCTGTTGGCCTCAGAACGGCGCTTTCGCTTCCGACGGAAGTTTCCATTGTCGAACATTTTTTCACAGTTTGGATCTAGAGTCCAGTAATTACCTTTTCCTGAGGAAAAAAAAAAAAAAAGAAAGAGTTAATGAGGGTCATATTTTTTATATTTGAGACAGGGTTTCTCTGTGTAGCCCTGACTGTCCTGGAACTTGCTCTGTAGACCAGACTAGGCTTGAACTCAGAGATCCACTTGCCTAGGGCTCCGAATGCTGGGATTAAAGGCGTGTGCCACCACTCCCAGCTTTTAGGTTCAATTTTATTTCTGTACACAGAGTGTCCCCCTTAAGTTATCAAGACAATTTAGTGGGTGTCTGAAATCACTAACAGCAGCAGATCCTATCAATCCTATTCTTTTTCCTACACATATACACCTATGATAAAGTAAATATATAAATTAGGCAGAATAACAATATTATAAGCTATGTTGAGTAGGGACTGTTTCTGGAGTTTGAAGACAGTTTCATGTATCCCATGCTGGCCTTAAATTGACTCTGGTTCTGCCGTCGCCCTCTCTGGGATCACAAGCATGCACTACTATACCCATTCTACAATGCTGAGGACCAAAGGCATGTCATCCTCTTCTGGAGGCCTTACGTACTTCACTAACAAGGAGACATTCAGAATAGGCTGTCCTAGTCAGTTCTATGTCTTAGTAGCACCACCATTTACACCCCAATACCGAATTTTATTTGAGGCACCTACTACAGTCACCCACCATCTTCCCTTACTCTAGATCCAAACCATGTAGACTTGCAAAATCATGAAAGTCTGGTGCATCGTAAAACAGGAGCTTCCATTTGTTTTCTAAAATAAGGCGGCTGGTAAGTTAACATGTAGTAACTTAGGCTTACATGATACCTTAGCGTAGTAGCTTAGCTGGCACAGGGCAAGCAGCCTGAACAGTATTCACTACCATTATTTCTGAAATATATGCAACTCCTACAACTGAAAAGAATCACCCTGGAAAAAGCAATCACAAAATGACGAACTGTGCTACCGAGCAACCAAGTTCTAACAACTCCACTGATGGGGCTTGTTTGCCGTACCAGGAAGCTGGGAACGGACACTCATCTGAGCAGGGTGTGTCCCTGTAAAACCAAGTTGTCCACTGGGGAAATTCTGCACTCGTTTTAAAACACCCAACACGTGCCTTCTGCAGGAAATGCCCTCCCACAGGGAAGAGGAAAGACCCACAGCATCTTAGGAGGTATCACCACCCAGTGGCTTTTCCTGACTTTGACCTTCGCGGTTCGAAAGTGTCATGAAGCTCTTGACAGTGAGCGCTGCTCATGGATAAGTGGAGGCAGGCAACAGGACCACAGCCCTCAATTTTCAGATGAGAGGGGAGGTACTGACCGGCTACCTGCTGTCGCCAGGGTAGACTGGTTCCCAATTTATTAATATCTTTTTTTCTTTAATCAGGGCCTCACTATGTGGCCCTGGCTATCCCAGAACTTACTCTGTAGACCAGGCTGGCCTCAAACTCAGATCTGGCTGCCTCTGTAGATACGCACACAGTATCTGTAACTACCTGTATAGGTCATCTTGGTATATGAATCTTCTCTTCCTTCTCTCCTCAGTGCTGGGGGTAAACCCAAGACCTCAATAAATCAGGCAAGTGCTCTATTTTTGAGCTATACTCCTGACCTCCAAACACCGGATTTTGTCCAAAACAAAAATCAAAAAAAAAAAAAAAAAAAACCTTTTCCAGATACCAATATCTTTGAATTTTTTAAGTTCAAAGGAATATGCGTGACAACAGACATAAAAATCTTGGGTGGTCTGAGGCTAAATTGGGAAGGTACATCTTCAGAAAGTGCGCGTCCTGTCCAAGTGACACTGTTGGGCACAAATGGCTGTTAGGACACTTGAAATGTGTCCAAATTAAAATGTGTTGTAAAATATACAGAGGCTATGAGATTTAAGAGAAAGGATGGGGCCGGGCAGCGGTGGCTCAGGCCTTTAATCCCAGCACTCGGGAGGCAGGGCCAGCCTGGTCTACCAAGCAAGATCCAGGACAGGCACGAAAGCTACACTGAGAAATCCAGTCTGGAAAAACTGAAAAAAGAGAAAGGCTGTGAAGCTGACCTTGAACTCTTAATTTTCCAGCCTTTGTCTCCTACATGATAGGATCATAGGAACGTAATTCTCTATGCCTAATCACATGTTAACTTTTTAAATGTGGTCTGCAACTATACAGTAACAGCGCTGTTAAATACTGCTCCAGAGCGATTTCTGCAAGACTAGGGGCGCAATTCAGCGGTGGGTCTGCATGTCTGAGGCCCTGGGTTCCATCCCCTAACAACAAAGGACGCTGGTAGCATTTAAACAAAACCCCTAGATCTCATTTTCCTTGTTTTGGTTTCATTCAAAAAGCCTCAAGCAAGAGTCCGTTTCTTTGCAAGCGTCACTCCACTTCCCCCTCTGCCGGGTGGAGCATCACTCAGAACACCTATGCAGTCTTCTGTACTCAAGAGATTGGGTTTAGACCAGTGGGAAGCCATTGAGTCATTTATTTCTTAATTTACCCAAACCTCTCAGTTGTCCCACTTCGGATTTTCATCCTTAAATTACCGCTCAAGCTAAGTGAATAGGTAAGGACGCAGCGAGATCCTCAGGAATCCAAAGGAGGCCCAATGTTCTCGTTCACCGTTTGCAACACCTGATAGAACACCCTCACTTCTGAGAGTCCCTTTCCTCCTGTTTTTTCTCCCAATCTACTTTCAGTAACTAAGCTGTCCCTTGCAGCGGCCTCCTGTTTGAGGGCATGAAATTTTTTTTCTTTTTTTCTTTTTCTTCCGGAGCTGAGGACCGAACCCTGGACCTTGCGCTTGCTAGGCAAGCGCTCTACCACTGAGCTAAATTCCCAACCCCTAAATTTTGTTTTTTCTTTAGCCGACCAACTTCTGTCCTGAATGTAGGGGACCAGCTCACCGTGTCCTCCGTAAGATCTGATACTTCCCGCATCCCTATCAGACCAGGTTGGGGCGGCTCTATCCCCACATGTTCCCCAGCGATGAGAAGACCCGGTGTGGATTTTCAACCCAGCCGCACACAGACTCCCAATACTGGGCTCTGGTTCGCAGCACCCGCAGGTGCGCGCGGCTCCGCGTCCTCCCCAGCCGGGAAGGACCTGTCCTGCCGTCTCACCTGGGTCGTCCTCGTCGCGGGGCACCTTCTTGAAGCAGTCGTTGAGTGATAGGTTGTGGCGGATGGAATTCTGCCATCCAGCCTTGCTGCGCTGGTAGAAAGGGAAGTTGTCGGCAACGAACTGGTAGATGTGGCTCAGGGTGAGCTTGCGCTCGGGTGCGCTCTGGATGGCCATGGCGATGAGCGCCGAGTACGAGTAGGGCGGACGCACCATCTTCATCAGATCCTCGCGGCTGGCCATCGACAGCCAGCCCAACTCGCCCGGAGCTGCCGAGCCGGCGGGCGAGGCGGGAGCAGCAGCCGAGGGCTGCGTGAAGCCCCGCTGGGTGCCCGCGAAGGTGCCCGGAGCGGCCGGGGGCTGCAGGAACGGCCCGGGAGCTGCTCCGGGGGGCGGCGGCGGGGCGCCCAGGTAGCCCGCAGCGGAGGCCGGGCCGCCCACGCCGGGCCCGTTGAGCCACAGGTAGGGGTTGGCGGCCGCGGCGGGCGGCGCGGCGTAGTCGGAAAACGAGTAGGGCGCCCTGGAGGTCGAGGGCGCACCGGGCGCGGCGGCGGCGGCGGGCTGTGAGTACACGAAGTTTTCGCTGCAGTACAGGGCCATGTCGGCGGCCGAGGGCTGGTGCGGCGCGGCCGCGGCTTTGGGAGAACGAGGTTGGCCCAGGCGCTTCGGAGAGAGCATCCCTAGGAGGACCAACCCAAAGGCCCGCCCGGGCCTCGGCTGTGAGCACCGATCTGGAGCGCTGGGGAGCTCTCCGAGGGCGGGCGACCGCGCCTCTTATACCTGCGGGCCTGCTGGGGCTGGGCGGCTGAGCAATCCACGCCCTCGCCACGCCCCACGTGCCCCGGGGCAGCGTGGAGCCTCTTGTGCCCCGCCTGTCCTGGTCTCGCAGCCAGCTCCCGAGTCAAGGTGAAAAGCGCCCCTCCGTCGTTTCTTCATCGGGCCCTCGTGTCCTCCGGTCTTGGCACCCATCCATCCCAGCCTCCCCTCCATCTTCCCATCCTAACCCCCGTGCGATCAGTTTTCTACAAAATGCAGAGTACTGAACCTAGAAGAGACTGTTCCTTTTCTAACAAGTCCCAAAGTTGTAAACTTTGGCGGGGGAGGGGGGAAAGGCGGGAACCGTATTTTTCACCTTAAGTACAGCACTCACGTTGAGTCTCGACCGATCGGCTCCTTGTCATCAAAAATGTTATATGTGAACAGGCACCCTGTGGGCCAGGTGTGAAATAGTTCTCTCGTCTCTTCTTTTGGTGGCGATTCATCTTTCTAGTTAAACTGTATGTTTGTTGACATTCGGGAAACACTTCATTTTTTCACCCGGTTTGTTCCGACTTTTGGTGTGGTATTATTTTTCAAAAGTTTTTTTTTTTGTGTGTGTGTGTGTTTGTTTTTGTTGTTTTTGTTTTGCAAAGACGGTTAAATACGTGTCTTTGGAATTAACATTTAAAAGCCGCAAAGGTTGAAGTAATTTAAACCGTACGAGAATCGCTTACAGTCAAGGATCTCTGTTTTATTCTCCGCTTCTCCACGTTTTCTAAAGAGGTTCTCTGGCACCGGGAAAACAGCTAGTGAAATGCTGTGACGACCCACGTGCCGCGCAATCGTTACCTACTAATTCAAAACGACAGCGAGAAAATAACCTCTTTTACCATTCAGAGTATTCCTAAATGTGTTTTCGATAAAAACAGACCCAAAAACTCTTGTTTGAGGGGAGAAGTGATTGGTTGCTTTTTTTTTCTTCTTTTAATTCTCTACTTTCGGATTACAGTCTGACCGCTGAGAATATTACTTCAGAACCCCCGCCCCAGCATTTATTCATGATAGTGTCAGTTTTGTACTTTAAACATTTCACCTCTTAAAAAAAAAAAAAAAAAAAGGTCCGTGGTTTGAGGCGACTCAACAGGTAAAGGCGCTCACCGCCAAACGGAAAGCCCTGAGTTCGATCCCTGGAGTGGAACGAGAAAACGACGCAGGAAAGCTGTTTTCTGATTTTCACAAGTGCGCCGCCGTGACACCCGCTCCCCGTTCCCATAAATGAGTAAATAAATAATGTAATGTTTAAAATTAAAATGGAAACTATTTAGCAAACTTGAGTGCCTAAAATGTGTATCTCACTTCAAACGTAAATGGTCATCTTCTCTGAAGGAACCCCTGCAACTATAAAACATCTGCCTGCGTCTTTGACGTTCTTGGAAGAGTCTAGAACAAAAAAGAAATTATGACTCTTTAACTGTATTTTAGCTTAAAATACATTGCTCTTTATTTAGATAAAAACAAAAACCGGCTTCCCGTCTTTCTAATGGGTTTGAAATAAAGTTCTTTGGTGTTGGGCAGATTTCTCCTGGGATGCTAACAAAGTTGAAAACTATGAACTAGGTGGGAAAGCAATTTTAATGTCATTATGCCCTGCTGGCTGTTTTTTTCTTAAGTGTAAAGCTAAGATGACAGGGTCCAAGTAAAAGTTGAAAACTTAGAGGCAAGCTTTTTTCTCCCCCCCCACACAAACTTTAAATATCTAACGTTTATGTAAAGTGACCAAAAGCATTAGCTTCGGATAAATGAGTGTTCAAAAGGTTTCAGCACTAACTTTTCTTTCATTCTAAATGGCAGTTAGTTACGAAACGTTGAATGCATCTTCCCTTTAGTAACTGATATTCTTCAGAATACAATACTTTCCCCGATCTTTTAGCAAACTGATTACCCACACACAGTTTGCCATGTTTCTTCTGGGTTTAATTTTCAGGCCTCCAAACTGTTCTAAACAAGAGGCCATCGTTGCAGAGTATTGTTTATTGTTTTGATGAAAGGATTTACCCAGTGGGCTGTGTTCCTGCTGTCTTTCGCAAACCTGAGTTTTATTTGAAAGGAGCAGAGCCACCTACCGATCTTTGGTTGCTGTTACAGCACCTCCCCGTGTGACTAGACAGCATCCTTTGCTAAATAATAATAATAATAATAAAAAGTCACGCTTTTCTATCGATTTTCTTTATTTCATTTCATTTTATTTTGAGAGATTCATTTCACGTAGTCTAGGTTGGCTTTGAACTCTCTGTGTAACTGAGGACAGCCTTTTAGGGGCAGACCCTCCCGCCTCTACCGCCCAAGTGCTGGAGTTACAGGCATGTGTACCATACATACCCATACCAAGCCTTTGATCACAGTTTGGTTCTATAAACATAAAGCTAGTACTAGTCACAGCCTGGGTTATTCCCTGTCAAAATTAATTTTTTTAAAGCATCTCTATGTTTAAAATGGAGGAAGCTGAGGCAGGTGGATTGCCATAAGCCTGGGCTACAGTTTGAGAATGTTAAAAAAAAAAAAAAAGCCCACAAACAAACAAAACAAATAAATAATAATCAGAGCAAGAAGAGTACTGAAACTAAAGTTCCCACCGGGGAGGCTGAGGAAGGAGGATCCAGAATTTGAGGCCTGAGTGCTGCATTGTGAGACCCTATATAATATATATATATACACACACACACACATACACACACACAACTACAACACAAGCCGGGCGGTGGTAGCACATGCCTTTAATCCCAGCACTCGGGAGACAGAGGCAGGCGAATCTCTGTGAGTTCGAGGCCAATCTGGTCTACAGAGAGAGCTCCAGGAAAAGGCGCAAAAGCTACACAGAGAAACCCTGTCTCGAAAAACAAAAAAAACAAAACAAAACCAAAAAACAAAAAAACAACTACAATACAAGACCCCTGTAATAATGTTTTGTCCAGTCACCCTTCCACAATAGGATATAATCAAGACAATTAATTGTTGCATAAATATAAGCTGTGGTGTTTGGGGGAAATTATAGGAATAATTAACTCACAGGCTTCCACTGCTATTCGCTGACATTCTGACGGGATGTTGTCATTTTGAGCAGAGTCTTATGGGATGTAGTTATTATTTCCATCAATCTGCAGTTATCACAGGAACACAGCACATTGGTGTGCTGGCCTCGCCACCTACTTCCAGAGGAGGAAAGGATCACATGCACTGAAAATGGCCTTGGTGCTCTTCACTAAACACATCAGCCATCGTAGACCACTAAACACATCAGCCAGCGTAGACCAACGCTGCATTTTACGTAGCATTGATGTTTACAGAAACACTCATGAGTGGAAACCATGGGCTCAGTGGGTAAGGGTGCTTGCCACCAAGCTTTATGACAGTGGAAGGGAAGAACTGACCCCCTCAAATTGTAAACAGAGAGAGAGAGACAGAGACAGACAGACAGACAGGCAGGCAGGCAGGCAGACAGAGTGACTAAAATAAATAAATGTGATTTTTAAAAACTGGAAACCAGGCACTCTAGCCCTATCTCCTACCTGGCTGTTTAGCTGGCATTCTGTAGTCATCACACTCATCTCACTTCATCAAGTAAACGAGATGCTCACTGAGGTTGAACCCTCCCGGACCCCCGACAGTATAGCTCAAACTGGCCCAAACTTCCCACAGTCCAGTTCTCTCAGACTTGTGAGTGCTAGGATTGCAAGCATGCCCAATTGTCCTGGCTGGAGGGGTCATTCTTTGGCTCACCAAATATTTATGGCTTTACCAAATATTTATGACTGGTAATGGGAAGTAGAGTGGACAGCTGGGAGAGCAAGCTTTTGAATGATGGGCAAGTATTTCATGTGGTGGTGTACCCAAAACAAACAAAATTTAGAATAAGCCTAGGCTGTGGCCCTGGATGAACCTTGGATGCCTACATCCGAAGAGTATCAAAAGAGAAAGTCATACGTGGGGAACCAAGAGACCCAGGAAGCCCAGACTATCCTGTACCCAGCCTTCCAATGCTGAAGGTCACGTTGTCATACCTGGGTGAACTGATGTAAACTGGTCCACTATTTAGACTTTCAAATGAGTAAAAGTTATCTAAAGTCAGGCTGATGCTAATTTGCAAATCTTTACTCAGGCATGTGATCTCAGACTTTTTCCGCTAAAGAGATAAGTCTTCCGCTAAAAAAAAGTTTGGGGCTGGGAATATAGTGTATTAGCATGTGCTCATCCAGCCTAGCATACTGGAAGCCTTGAGTTCAGTCCCTAGAATTTACATAACAAAGACTGGCCTTGGTTGGAGAGATGGTTCAAGGGTTGAGAGCACTGACTTACAGAGGACCTGAGGTCAATTTTTAGCAGCTGCATGATGGCTCACAACCATCTGTAACTCCTCTTTTTCTTCTGACTTCTATGTGCATGTGGCATACAGACATGCATGCAGGCAAAACATTTATACATATAAAATAAATAAATTAAAAAAGAAAGAAAGGAAAAGACCTAGAACACTAATACGAAATAGTCACTTGCCAACATTTCAAACAATTGGGAAAAAAAGAATTCACCCATTTTTTAACATATCTGACAATATCGGTAGATTTCTGGACTCGTCATGACTGTCTGATTTCTGTAGCCAAGAAGTCTTTGGGTACACAACAGTGAATATTTGTGCTCAGATGTACCAGCCTGAATGAAGAGCTTCCATTCTCATATTAAACCATCAAGAACCATGCACTCTGGGTTTTCCCAACCTTCTCAAACTCCATTTTGGTTTGCCATAAATAAATCAAAGTGTTCAGAAACCCTTACCATCTCTGGATGCA